CCTCCAACTCTTTTGAAGAAGTTGCTGCTCTGGACTCTGCTGGCGCAGGGAGGAGACCTTTACTTCCTTCAATTGCTTTCTTAGCTTATTTGATTTGGTCATCTCTTAAAACAACAACAACAAAAAACTACCAGTGGCCTAGTTTCTCACTGTGTTTCTGGTTTTTGCTTTAGGATATTGTCTTAAGAGTCAAAATAAGCCAGGCATAATATGGCACACACTTGTAATCTCGGCTCACTGGAACACAGAGGTAGGGGGATCACAAATTGGAGCCCAGGTTGGGCAGTTTAGCAATTTTATAGACCCTGTCTCAGAAAGTAAAAAAGGAGTTGAGACTGTAGTTCAGTGTGAAGGCCCTCAGTTCAATCCCCAGTACCACCAAAAGGAGTAAAAATAAACATTGGAATTCCCTGAAACTATAATTTTTCTCCTGCATTGTCAACACTCATTCTTAGCAATTCTCCCCGGCTCAGAACTAAATTGAGTTTGAAAAATGTCTCCAGTTGCCTTTTAAGGATTTTCCATGTGGCATTTCCCCCAGGGCAGGGAGGGAGGCTGGCCAAAGGAGATCCTGTAAGAGTTTAGCCCATTTCCTTCACAGCAAAGCCCTCCAGGATTTGACTTCCCAGGCCTGGCAGGAAATGCCAAAGGGTGGAGGATGGGTAGGAACTTAGAAGTTTTACAGAAGAAAAAGCAGGGGTGAAATTATTCAGGACAGGTTTTGAGGGATCCAGTTGGAGGGGATGGTTTCGCAATGGGGATCATAAAATACAAATACACAGAATCTAAAAATGCCTGGGAATTTTATTTCCTGTAACTACAAAAACAAAAACAAATCTACCTCTTAGTGGCTCTCTTATTCCAAGCAGTCAGTGGATGAGTGAGAACCTGGAACAGGCAATGCTTTAAATCCCTTCTCCAGTAATCCCTGACCTGGCCACTGCTGGGCCAATGAAGAGGGTTCAGCCCTACCCTGCCCTCTTTCAAGCAGCAGCTAATTGCAGGGGCAGTAATGGCTCTCCTTGTTTTCCAAATACCTTCCCTTTCTTCTGCTCCTTCCTTCTTTCTTTGCTTTAAAGAAGTCAGACACCCAGTGGTGAGTTCGAGCTACCTAGCATTGGAAAAATGATGCAAATGACGTTGGAGATAATTGCTAGGTTTTGTCACTGTCCCTTGGCTTCCACCCTCTTTTCAATGCAAACTAGGCCTCAGGGTCAAGTTCTATAAATTCTCTGACTTGGTTTGGGTTACTCTAGTGTCCTGAAAGGCACACAAAAGAATAGGCACTCAGGTCAAACATATGGGTTGAATTTGACTGAAATTATAGTTACTGCTCAATTCATTGGTCAGTCGGCCCCATCTCATTATCCCTGGAAACCTGGAGCCATGTCATTTGCTTTTTATCATTGCAGAATCCATGGAGAACGACCAGAGCATCTCATCCAAAGGCAGGTAGGCTTAAAACAGAAAAGCCCAAAGGAATCATAGTGACTCATTCATTCAGTGGGTTCCGGTGATCAGGCTTGACTTCGTTACATCTGACATCATGCTTCATGCCAATGGGTTTGCAAAAATGCACACTGATCAGTTGCCATATTGGATATGGGATCCTCACTGTACACACTTCAAGTCTTATCAGGCAATCTGCTTGGAGCACTCAGCCTACAGCTCTGTGTAAAACATCTGTAAGTTTTCAATGTGCTATTTCCAGAAGAACTATTTCCCCCTACACACTGAAAATTAAGGCTCACCTAAAAATAATTAAATCTGACTTAACACTCTCAATGCTTTGTGTGTTCTAATTAAATAAGAATGGAAGAAATCTTAATAGGATTGCAAATCAGGTCTTTGTGTCCCTGATTCATACATCCGTCTTAGATCAAATAAATTTAATGGTGGCTGAGAAATTGTATTTTCTTTTTGAGAAAAAAGTGAAACTCAAGACTGAAGCTTCACTTCCTACCTCAAATCCTTTCCAAATCCTCCCCATCTTTCAAAGCTGGTGTGAGCACCTTTCTTCTACTGGAGCCCAAAGAGCGCCCATTTCTGAGTCCTCTTGGTTTGAGTATCCCACAAAGAACATGACTATCCAGTGCCATTTGCTGGGGAAGCTGGTGGGGCCGCCCAATCCACCACTGGGCAACCCTCCTACATATGAATCAGCTTTCTTATTGCTGACAACTCCTCACCCAGCACCTGCCTCAGTCAGGTGAATAATAGGTATTCTTTAAAATCATGACTACTGGTCATTAGTAAGTTAAAGTCCTTCTTTGAGATCATTCTGATTCATTTTAGAAAACTTAGATTTACATATGGAAAGCAAGGCATTCTCCTAAGTAGGGATGGCCTGGGAAGGGTGGCACACACTTGCTCTGCTCTCTGTGGCTACCTGACACTGTCCAGAGGAAAAGATCAGCAAATATGTGAACAGTACAAGAAGTCTCTTTTCCTCCCATCCTCAGGCTCTCGTCACCAGAAGCCCGCACATCCACACAAGCTTGAGGATTACTGTGCATAAAGGAAATCCATGGTGTCATTCCATACCATTTTGTTCCAAAAGATGTCACTCAGTGAAGAACCTTGGAGCTTGGTATTTCTACAGTGTATAAAGGAATCATTGCAGGCATTGAAGACATCCATTTTCCCCTCCCTCACTGATTCACAAAGATGACACTTCAACCGTGGCCTTCCCAAATTCACTACGCATAGGGCCTCCACACAGTCCTCACCAATGGTCTAGATACTGGGCCTTTTGATGACACACTCAAAGAAAGAATGAACGTTAGTGTGGCTCCCTATCGAGGCACCACCCGCCAATAGCGGGGCATATGTCATCTGTCGGCAGGGACAGGGAAGTGGCAGAGTCCCCATACAGAGAAGACACTGGGCAGGTTTGGGCCTAGCAGAGCAGCAAAGTGGTATCAGAGCAGGGGTCCCCTGCAGAGGTGGATATCAGAGGCCAAATGAGATCTAAGATCTGACCCTGCCACTATGGAGTATCTGGGGGCAAAAGATTTTAACTTCTCTGGAAATCAGTTTTCTTACCAGAACATAAAGGACAATAAAAGAAGTGGTTTTAAAAAAATTTCAAATGAACGTTGTAGAACACACCTATAATCTCAGCACTCAGGGAGGCTCAGGTAGAGGATCACAAATTCAAACCAAGCCTGGGTATTCAGACAGGTATTCAAACATTGATATTATTCCAGACAGAGTATTCAAACATTAATACCTTGTCTCAAAATAAGAATAAATAAAGGAGTGGGGTTGTAGCTCGGCACAATCCCCAATACTAAAACAAAACACATCATTCAACCTCCGATTCTGATAGTGAACACTTACCAGGTGAGAGGTCCTGTAACAGGTAACATGGGAGACAAAGATATGATACATTCCTCATTAAGTTAGAATTGATGTTTTAGTAGAGAAAGAAATAAGCTAACCCCAATGCTGAGCCCCGCCTGTCACACTGAACTCTATATGTATACACACATATAAACTTATATTAACCTGTAGTTGCTATTACATAATATACATCAAACACAGGCTGGTCAGCAAGCACAGTTTAGAAAGGGACAGATTCTTAATCAATGGAGGTCTCTAAGAAAAGTTTCTTAAGGAAAATTGTAAATATCTCTCAAAGAAAAGAATCACTTGCAGATTTTTCAGAAGAGACTTATTTGCCTCAGAGATTGGAAGAAAAAAAGAAAAACTGCATTCTGCTGGTAGTGGATATAAACTGTTATTAACCATGTGGAAGAAACATTTCATCCAATCTGTATTTCTCAAGTTGGAATAGGTGCTGTGTGTGTGGTGGTAGTGGGGCCTGGGCTCAATTAAATTGGGAAATAGTATGTTAAACCAAAGTAATCTTTTGGATTTTTCACTGCAGGTTTCCCCAGAGACTTCAATAAACATACGCATCTTAAAATGCTCCAGGAGAATCGGGGATTGCAGGGTCCCAAGCTGTGGGCCCTGGAGTTGATTTCACAGTGTCCCCAGGGCCATACATTTTTTGAACACATTGTGAAGTCCCAGGTCTTGTTCACCTCTGCCTCTCCAGCCTCTGTCACAGCACCAGGTATGTAGGAGACAGGCAATAAAGTAGAAAAATATTTGCTGAATGTGCAAATGAATATTATTAAATTCTAAATGGAAAGACTGGCATTTGTATAAAAATGGTGGTGAGTTTGCAAAGGCCAGAAATCACCACTCATACTGTCTCGTTCACGGTCTGCATGCCAGAGGGTCAGTTGTAGGAGTTTTGGGTGAGATTCTCATTGCTATCTAAAAAAGCCCAATAAATCGAGTCCACGGCACATCCTAGAAGATTCTAACTTCCCGTCTCCACCCCATAGAGGACAGTGAAATAAGAGCTCCATGAGGAGCCTGTATATTTTTGGTCTTTACCAAGATTAAGCAAGGAATTAGAGGCGAGTCTCTAGAATGGAGTTAGACTATTTTCATTTCTTTACTGCCACCTTCTGGTTCCCAAGCAACCACACGGTAACTGAAACTGCCCCTTGTTTGTGTTTCACCATGGAATTTTAAGCATGTGTTTAGAACCTTTACCTCATTCGACACTACATACATTAGGAGTGATTAGGATGTCCTTTACTCTTTTTCTTTTGACCTGAAAACAATACAGAAGTTAGGTGATCTCATTTGAGATAGAAAGGTAGGAGCAGAGCAAGGATCAGCCACACTTGTTGGTTTTTCCAAAGCACAAACACTGAGTTTAGCCACCTTTGGCCAGCTACCTTTACCCCCTTATCCCTTCACAAGCACAGCCTTGCATGGAAAATCCCAAGACCTTCACAAAGAAGAAGGTGTTCAAACATACCCTGATCTCTTCAAGGGTAAAATCCACTTCACTTTCCAAAGTCTTTGAGAGACCAACGCAGAGGGTCTGACAATGATATTTTATATGACAGCTGAGTACCATGGTGTCCTGCCGTGCTTCCCGAGACAGTGGCCAGCCAGCTCCTCTGTAAACATACCTTGGTCTGAAAGCAGCAGTAGAGTTGGGTTAGATACGGGTGTTTCCGTGCCAGAGCCAAAATCCTCTTCTCTGTCATTGTGCAGTCCACGTCATCATCCTGAAGGATGACATCCTTCTTTAAGACCTTCACAGCATACACTTCATCTTTGCCCTTGAGTTCCGCCAACATGACCTGTAATTAACCAAAATCATCCCCATCACCTGTGAGGGTGTGCACTCAAAGGAGGAAACACAATACCAGATACCTTGAAAAGTTAGCTCCAAATACATTGACCTAATTCCTAGTTCCTTTTCCCTTAATTTTAAGTATTAAAACAGCATTAAAAATATTTAAGAAAACTATTCATCCTGATATAACTATTAGAAGTTATGTATGTATTTTTAAACTTTGGCACAGTATTCTGAAAGAAGTTCAACGCATCCTTCTTAAATGATTAATCATATGTTCATATGCATTTATAAAACTTGCAACTAGAGTATAGTGAATTCAGGCACATACTTATTTATTAATTGTATTTCTTTTGGGGTAAGTTATTTGTCATTTGTCTATTCTTTTGCTGGCTTATATTATTTCTTAGAAATCTGTACACATGATCCTATAAAGAAACTGACTTGTTGTTTTCTGTGAAAGTGTTTTTGAACTAGTATTAACCTGTTTTACACATCATTTTTCCCATTGAACAGAATCATTTATCTTGATGTACTTAAATCTCCCTTGCTTTTCTTTATGGTTTCTTTGACAGCTGTACAGCTAGGAAGCTGAGTCTTTCTCTAGAAGGCTAAATAACAGGCCTATTTTTCTATCACTTGATATTTTTGCACTCGTTTTACTATAAATATTATAAAACATCCTTTTAAAGTAACTAACTCCTAAGCATGGTATTCCAGTGTTAGCTGTCAAAGCTAAAGACCAGAAACTCAGACACTTAGAAAGGGAATTCATGATATTAACCTGAAGATTTTTACCAACATAAAACACAGGCTCTAAACTGGCTCGAACTTTAGGTGCAAATTTTCCTAAGAAACAACCTACACGATCCATAGTCATCAAAGCCCCATCCGGCCTACACCATATGGTAGCTTGGAAACTCTGCGCATGCTCATTTCACTCATTTTGGAATCTTGCTCAAAATTCAACCAAGTCCAGCACACAAACCCGAGTCATGCGCATAAACCAGAGGCCTGGGGTCTGTTTGTTATTTAGACAGGCTCTAAAGAATGTGATTGCTTCACCTGTTGCCTCTTCAGTATACCCCAGTCACTATCCTGCCAGGCAATATCCGGATGTGATAGGGCAGGGGAGATAGGGGATTTCCCAGAGTCCTTCCCTCCGGAGAGCAGAAGAATGGACCTGCAGCCAGCCAGCAGACTGACCCAAAGGGCACGTGAGGCCATGTGACCCCACAGCAGCTCTAATCCTCAGAGCAGGGCCTCGCTGATCTGTGGGATCCCAGAGAGCTGACTCACATTGACACACACACCCCTGCGCCCCAGGCACAGCTTTAAGACGAGCAAGGGGAAATTAGAGTCTCAGTTGCAATGCTAACCAACTTCCTGCACTAACTGGCTCTCCATCTTTCTACCTCATCTCAGCCAGCTATCAGCATGGGAGCTGACGACAAGCATACAAAAAGGCAAAACCCATACCTGCAAAGGAAAGCAGGAAGTAGAGAATGCCCCAGGCCAGGGACCCTCATCTAAGGGGAGAGATAGTTAATTGACTCCTTGTTACAGTACAGGATAAAGAGAGTGTTTACTAAGTGCCAGAAAAATCAGTTAAATAACGTTTAACTTTAAAGGACTACATGGTAAGATTTTCTCAGGATCCTAACTTCCCTGAGGACAGATTCCAAAGTTCATGCTCAAAATTTTCAAAATGAAAACATAGAATTTCAGACTAATGTCTGAAGGAGGGAAGAAAGGTATTGGTACCATTATTGGCAGTGGAATGCTGAGTGCATTAGTTTTTTCATACTAAATATATTTTGTCCGTGTTTCCACTGTGGATATGGTACAAATGTAATATCAAGGAGGTAGAAAGGTCCTGTTACATTTAAGAAATAAGAATCTCACAGGAAAAAAAATACCTTCATGGAATTGGTGTTAAAAATGAAAGAAAAAAAAAAAACCTACGTTAAGAGAATCTTTTTCATATATCCAACAGCTTTATAAAGCAACTGGGCCCCAGAGAAAAAGACTGTTGTTCTTTTATGAAATGGGTCTTTTGGTTTGTTTTTAGATGTCTCCCCAAAATATCATGCAGTCATAGGCTTTAAAAAAAAAAAAAGTTTCCCCACAGGTGGCTAAATCTAGCAGGTGTGATTGATTCCTACTGAAATGCTTGGATTAAGGGTGCTGGGATTAAGGGTGGGTGACTGCTGGATCAGCCCACTGATTGGATTGGCACCATCTAATCCCGGTAGCCTGGATACAACACAAGGGACAGAAAAGCCTTGCTTCTGCTGACTTCTGGCACCATGAATTGTTTTCCCTGTGCCATGAGCCACCCTGCTTTCCTGGAGCCAGCCAATTATGGACCAAAACCTCCATAAACTGTGAGCTATATAAACTTTTCCTCTTTTAACTTTGGCTATTTTGGTATTTTGTCTCAGTGAGAAAAAGGTAACTAAGACACCGGTCCCACTCGACAAGGAAAGATAAACCTATACCCATATATCTCTCACCATGCACTAAACTAAACTCAAAGTACATCCAAGATCTAAATATTAAAACAGAAACACTAAATCTTCTGGAAGAGAGAATAGGTAGAACACTTGAAGACATAGGTGTACGCAAAGACTTCATGAAAAAAAACCCCGATGGCATGGGAAATGCTACCAAAAATCAACAACTGGGATCTCATCTTACTAAAAAGCTTTGCAAAGCAAAAGAAACTACCAACAAAGTGAACAGACAACCCGCAAAACAGGAAAAAGTCTTTATCAGCTCTTCGTCAGACAAAGGACTACTATACAGAATATATAAAGAACTCAAAAAATCAGAATCCTACACTTAAAGACCCAATCCAAAATCTGAAATGAATAACACTTCACAGTTAAGAAGTACAAAAAGCAAATAAATGTATTAAAAAATGTGCAACATCACTGGTCATTTGAGAGATACAAATTAAAACAACATTGAGATTCCATCTCACTCTAGAAAGAACAGCTATTTTCAAGAAATCAACCAATAACAAAGGCTGGTGGAGCTGTGAGGGAAAAGGAACCTTTATCCTCTATTAATGGGAATGTAGTTGGTACAACCAATATGGAAATTAGTATAGAGATTTTTCAAAAAACTAAAACTGGAGGTTCCATTTGACCTGGCAATTCTCCTTCTTGGTATCTTCCCAAAAGAGTTAAAAGCATCATGCCACATTGTTAAATGTACACCCATGTTTATGTTAGCACAATTTGTCATAGCTAAACCTTGGAAACAGCTCAAATGTCAATCAATGGATGAATGGATAAAGAAAATGTGGTTTTGATTTTGTTTTTGGAGACAGGGTCTTGTTATGTAGTCCAGGCTGACCTTGAACTCATGGCAATCCTTTATGCCTTAGCCTCCCCAGTTCTGGGATTCCAGGTGTGAAAATGTGGTTTTTATATACAATGGTGTTCTACTTTGCTATAAAGAAGGATAAACTTGAGACATTTATAGGTAAATGGATGCACCTCGAGCCCATACTTTTCAGTGAAATACATTGGACACATGTTTAAATATTGCATTGTTCCTCTTGTGTGAGAAAACAAAGGGGTAAATAAGGACCAAAGGGGATAATAGATACCGGGAAGTAGAAAAAAATGGGAAAGGCGACAGGATGGCCTTTCCTCCCCTTTCCTCCAGGGGAGGGGGGCAAGGAAGGGAAAAAATGGAAATAAGGAGGGGAAGAAAAGTTAGAGGGAGAGGAGGGGAATGAGGAAAAAAGATAAATCAAGATACATCATGCACAGGCACAAATTCCTCTCCGTGAATGTGAGCTCACTGTATATCAAAAGTGTACTGGTAAAATTAACTCAAAACGGGGTGTGGGGGGACCAGGCTGAGATGCTCCTCACTGATCAAACAGGAGGGGCAGGTACAGAGCACAGAAAATAAACAGGGTACCCACAACTGCCACAGACCTTGCCAAAGCTGCCTTTGCCCAACACCTTGATAAAGTTGAACTCGTCTAGGCCTAAGCGCTTGGCCTGGCCTTGCCGGACTTCACCATTCTCTCCAGGGCTGGCCAGGTGGCCGTCAGTGGACGATGCCCGGTGCTCTTCTCCTCGATTGTCAAATGACAAGGCCTTCCGGATGTTGTTTTCAAGCTCTTTTAATTCTAGGGCCAAAAGGTAACGAGATACAGTACTGCATTAGTGCACATCCCATGAGCCCTTCTCCTTGTTTTCCAAAGAACTGAGGCCAACAGGAGCCCATCCTAGGACTCCAGAGAGCTTTGCAGATACGGAGTGAGCTCCAGTGGGGTGGGTTGGGCAGCTGTGTTGGGAGGGGAAAGAGGAGGCAGCCCCTGAGCCTACAGATTCCTCACATACAAATCCAGCAGTGAACTCAGTCGTCACTAAGCCTGACATTAGTCTTATGACAGAGCTAAAATCTATTATTAAATAGCTTTTGGAATGCCAGAATCTAGACTTTTGGGACACCAAAGCTTGAAGAAGTTATCTATATTCTTACAAGAGGGAGAGTGGCTCACTTCTGGTTGGTGACAGTGCCATGCCTTGTGTTATTAGTGCCATACTCCTGTTCATGAGTGCTCACCTCCCTGCTGAGACATGGAGAGCCCTGCTGGTCCCTCCATGTGCTCGAGACCCTGACAGGCACTGTGTCTTGCTGAGGCCAAGTGGCAGGTAGGCCAAGCAGAAGCCAGGCCTGAAGAGCAGGGCCCCTCGTCCTCATGGGGGTCTCTTTCCATCTGAACCTGTCTCCTGAAGCTCCCAGAGGGTGTCTCAGCTTTAAAAAGGGGAGCACGAAGACACTCACACTGGTCCAAAGAAAGACCTACAATTCATGAATGGGTCAAATCTCTTTGGGGATGAAATAAAGACACAGGAAGTGAATTGGAGCAACATGAACAACTGAGAACAATTATTTCGTGGCCTGGGGATTGGGACATGGTCCCCAAAGCTGTTTTTCTATTCCTGGGAAAGAAGGGCTAGGTTTCAAGTGGGGATGATCTCCAGGTGGGACTTGATGGTGCAGGCCCACCTTATCACACCACCTTGGTGCTTGATCTTGGGAGAAAGCTTTCAACTCTTTATCTCCCCCTTTTTATCCTGTAAGCGGGGCAGTAACCAAGCATCCCTATGGAGTGAGGAACAGAAATATAAAAGGAGTTACAGAACGTTCGGGAACTACACCATTAGGAGGACTGTATTCCTCCGCAGATGTTTGGTGCTGGGCATCAGAGTAGAAGGCTTTCTACTGTAGACAGCTGTCTGTCTATTGACAGCTTTGGACAAAATATCCCTGGTCAGCCCCAGCATTCTGTGCAATAATTCTGCAAAATTATTATTTTAATGCATATTTTTCCTGCAGAACTTTTACTTTAAGCATATTCCGACAGAAAGACATCCAGAGCTGAGCTGAAGAGCAAAGCTGGGCCTAAAGCTCATTCCTCCTCACTTCCCCCAGTTTCTTTTACAACTCCATCTTTCTATCCTTACCCACAGACGAGGACAGGAAACATCTTCCAGCTCAACCTGAAGTCAGGTTTTGTGTGTTATGACTGGGAGGAGGGTTCTAAAAAATGTCCAGGGCTGGACACTGGGGCCAACAGTGAGGGGAGGCGCTGTACTCCTCTTCCTCTCTGCCCTTGGAGCCAGAGAGAGAGGCAGGAAAAATAAAGGACCAAGATGTCATGTGCACTGGCCCTCGCTCACTCTGGCCTGGAAGGAATTTAAGGAAAGCATTGCCATCTAGTGCCCAGCCCTCTAGACAGCACTGCAGAGTGGAAGAAGGGTTCAATCAACAGGGAGAGGGTGCACAAGGACCACTGTCAAGGCCACGTCCCCTGGTGGACCAGCTTTGTGGTTCTTGGTTCTTCCATTGAAGGGCTCTGGGAAGAAGGAAGTAAGTCTGAGGGTCTCACCCTGGTCACAAGGGGAGGTGGGTGCTGACTTGGATCGATCTTCCTCAGATGGGGAGCTTCCGGAAGCAGGCTGGGGGGACTCGGCACCAGCAACGAGCTAGAGAGAAAGTGAGAAAAAGGCATCAGAAAGAAAGGTTGTTGAGTTTCCCTCGGGGCAAGGGCATGAGGTTCTCTGCACCCAGAGCTGTTCAGGATGCTGAGTACTGCATCACTTGCTGGCTGGCTACCCTAAGGGCAGACTCAAGGTTTCACTCACCAATAAAAGGGAAGAAAATGAGAGACTGGTTTTTTAGTCTTTGACCGTGCAACTCTCCGGCACTTCCACTGTCCCTAGTGCCGCACACAAAGTAATGCTCATAACAGGTGCTCAATAAATATCTTCTGAGGTCCTGATGTCTATTGACAGCTTTGGATAAAATATCCCCTGGTGGAATGAGTTTCCTGGCTGAGTGTGGACATATCCACTTTAAGTAACACTTCAGGGAGCAGTCTGCACTGAGAGAGCCCAAGCATTCCCGCTGCCTCTGTGTGTGCCCGACCCCCAGTGTTCATCTGTCTTTTCTGGAACAAGGAGAGAAGCAGGGCTCCAGCAGGTCTGACACTCCTGCCAGGAGATCTAACTTCTGATCCAGGGGATGTCACTCCCGTCCTTCACACTAACTCAAGCTACCATTTGGATTTTTTTTCAACTGTTGCATCAGAAGCATCAAAGCAATAAAAATATCAGGACTACGATCCCTTAGCCTTTACTTCTGTCCCTTCTGGAGTTTCTCTCCAGTGGCTTCTTCCCACCAGGTTCCCCCAAATGCACACCCAGCAGCTGATGCCTGTACCCAGCACCGCAGCCATGTAAGTGTAGGGAACAGGACAGGCGCTAAGTTTTCTTAAATGTTTCATGACAGTGAAAGTGTCTGCCTTAAGTAGCTTCGGCATGGAGAGAACTTCCTATCCTTGAGAAGGGTTCTCTCTAATTGTGAAAGACCTCAAAACTGTGTCCATCTAACAATCTACCACTTTAGAGGGCCTCGGAGATTTGGATGCTGGTGTCTGCTTGTGATCCCAGTGCTGTGGGTCCAAAGCTAGAGGCAGATTTCTGCTGGTGGGGACAGCCCAACCTTCCCATGAGGAGAAAAACAGCTCTTCTGGTCACACCAGGGAGAAGACACAGGAGGCCCTAAAATAAGAAGTCTAGGAAATGTAGGGTGCCTCAGAAGGCATTTCAGGGCCGAATTTAGAGAGCCACAACCACAGAGGTCCCTAATGTTCGGTTTTTATAGTAAAGCACTTGTAAAAGCCTGATGCTGGGCAGCCAGGGCCGCACCTATCCTAGCCCACATCAGGATAGCCTGCCCGGCCACAGGGCTCTGGTTCTCTCATACCTACTTTTCAAAGCCCACTTACTCTGTGTGTGTGTGTGTGTGTGTGTGTGTGTGTGTGTGTGTGTGTGTGTAAAACCAGAATTGAACCCAGGAGTGCTCTACCACTAAGCTACATCCCCAGCTCTCTGACTTTATTTTTTTTTTTTTTTATTTTATTTTGAGACAGGATCTCACTGTCTCAAAATCAAGTCAACCTTGACTTTGGGCTTTTCCTGTCTCAGCCTTCTACACATCGCCCCACCATGACAACTTGCTCTTTCAATTTAGGAGTCAGGTTAAAGAAGAACCTGCTACAGATCCTTTAGTTCTATTTATACCCATGGCCCTGATTTACCAAAATAATACTCGCACAAACAGCTCTACAACTGACATCCAGAAAGTCACACAGATAGAGACAGAAGAAAGAAAGGTCCTGATGTCCCATCCCCCAAGCAACTCAGCACTGGCACTGGCAAAGATCTTGGCTTCTCCTGGAGCAGAAGGTGGCTCCAGGAGAATGTGACCATCTATCCTCATGACACCATCACTAAAGGGAAGTTCAGAGCTCTGGCCTTGTTTCGGGGACAGAGCCAATGGCAGGTAAGTCTGCTGCTCCTTCTATAGTTGTTACACTGTTTCTAGAAGGAATCTCACAGCTCTCATTTCAACCTTTCTGTTTCTCTGACAGACATAAACTCTGAAGCCTTGAGCTACAGCTGCAACCGTTCTGTGTTACTTTATTTTGATACAGGCCATTAAACCGATGACCCTCCTGCTTCAGCCTCCTGATTACCACCATGCCCGGCTTTGTTTCTGAGCAATCACATGGGGCTTTACGGGAAATGCCTCAAATTCAGGGATCTAACAGTCTCCATCCAGGGCACTCTCAGGAAGTCAGCACAGAGATCTGACCCAACAATAGGTTCAGAAGCACCAGCAAATAGCCAGTTACCTTTTTCCTCCTCTGGCCACTGTTGGTAATTTTGTCCGGAGTGACACCCAGGTCAGCCAGCACTTTGGCGATCCCCCTGGCATCTACCCCACAGTTGGGCGCCACATTGGTCTCGCATCGGCGGTGAACGTTCATCTTGCAGACTGTAAAAAGACACATTCAAATGTTCATGGCCTAACACACTACTTTTTTAAAACTGTAAAATATGTTATAGATTTCAGAAAATGCAAAAAAAAGGCATAAAAAATAAAAATCACTCTTCCTTTCATCCCACAGAACTAAAATCATCCATCAAAACACCATGCAGAGACACCCAGTTTTTAGTTATTTCTTTCCAGGCATTTTGAGTATATGAAATAAAAAAAGCATCACATTTAACATTCCTTTTAGGGAGCAAATAGTGACTCAAGAAGAATTTAATTGACTTCTCTGGAAAAAAGTTTCACTTAAATTCTGGGTCCCAACAGGTCCAGGGAGCCAGCCTTCCCCCACCTCACTGTGAGTCACACGCACACAGCGCACACCACAGTGATTATATGAGGACATCTCTGCCTTCTCCCCAGCAGGGAGGGGAAAGCCAACCATTCTGAAACAGGCTGGAGCATTCTGTGCTTCTTATTACGGCCTGCCCCAAGGAGAAGGTATTTCAGCAGAGCTTGAACTGCGGGGTCTTATCAGCTCCTCCGTGACCCAGGGGAAAGGAAACATCTAACTGCAGCCGCCCGGCCATCCTGCTCCACCTGAGGCCAGGGGAGGACCTCGAGCACGGTGAAGGTCACAGTCTGAGCCACGGCTCACCTAGGCACGGGACTGCAGCTCGCCTCTCCGCACCAACGCCGGACATGACCCCCATTCCTTTACCTAGAGCATCACGTTTAGCTACTAACATAAAGCTGCAAGGCACAGGAAAAAAATAAAGCATCAGCGCAGTGATGTTGAAATTACCAAACTGGGAATTTAAAACAACCATGATTAAGATGCTTTAAAATGCCCTACTTCTCCAAGATTTCTACCACCTTCTAATAGCACTAAGCTGCTCTGCTGGCAATTTTATTATTCTACTATTATTACTGTTCTATTTTGTTATTAATTATTATTATCAAACTGCTACACCTAACTTATAAATTTTATCACAGGTATATGCATATGCACAGGACATATAGAGTTTGGTTTATCTACCATTGGTGAGAGATCCTGACCCTTTGCCCTGCAGAGAGGAGGGGCGCTCTACTGTATACTAAGTTCAGAGTGAGGGAGCACATCAGATTTGATGCGGGTCATCACATAACGATAAATGGGTAGACTCTCCAGGATGATTGGACCTTTAGTGTGTATGCACCTAAGAGGAGGTTAAGCTATATTAAGTAAAAATTGAAAAACAGATGATTCTTCTTAAATTTGGAGACTTCAGTACCCCTCTGAGATAAACAGAGTCGGCAGGCAGGACTTGAACTCCATGGCAACATTAATCAGCAGCATATAATTATAGCCACTGATTACTGCATCCAACAACAGCAGAACACATGTTCTCTTCAAGCTCATATGGAGCATCTACCAGATGCACCACATTTTGGACCCTAAAACACACTTGTGATTTAAAAGAATAAGAAGATGTGATATTGTGGCCTGGCCTGTGCTACATCCGAAGACATGGCAACCCTAGTGACAACTGGATCCAAGCAATGCAGCTTTGGGGCAGGAGAGGGGGTCTCCCTAGAGCAGAAATGGCCCAGGGTCTCACTTCTCCCTAAGTTCCAGCTCCTAGGGGCTGCTGGGCTGGTTTGAGCTGAGGCCACACACTATACCACATGGAGCCACATGGAACCACATGGAAATCTGCAAAAACCAAAGCTCTGGAAATAGTAAAGGATCAGTGCTTAGCATGGGTTAGGAGGGAGGGGCCAACAGGCAGAACACAGGGTTTTTAGGGCAGTGACACTGTTCTATATGACCCTAAAATGGCAGATACATGTCACCATACCTTTGTCCAAACATGTATTATAAACATGGATTATAATCATGGATTATAAACACCAAGAGAAAGCCCTAGTGTCACTAAGGACTTTAGATGCTAAGGGTACACCCATTAACTAAGCTGATCAACCACTACCCCACACACAGGCCTGAAGAGCATACTGACAGCACGCGTGGCAAGCCTATGTTCCTGTAGGTCAGGGTACACAGGACATCTAAGGACTTTGCTTGGTCTTGTTGTGCACCCAAAACTGTTTTTAAAAAAATAAACACTATGTTAAAACCAGTGGAAACTGATGTACAACAGCTTGATGGGACTTCAAAACAAGATGATATTAAATCAGCGCTAGCTTTTATGATGTTTTGTTTTCTTCAAAATAGCTATTCGTACTATCACCGATACTAAAATCGAACAACCAAGGTTAAAACCTTTGCAATTAATGAGTGAAAACATATGGCTTCAAACCAACATGATTGGGAATCATGATTACCACATACTTTTTTGTATTCTTATCATTTCTTATACTAGGGAAACTATTCGGTATTTATACATGTGAATTTGATTTATTTCACTTATAAGTATGGTCTCAAGCTCCGTCCATTGTACATCGGTTTCCACTGGTTTTAATATGTTGTATCTTACTATATTTTACTATACGTGATAGCATAAAATCTTTTATAGGCAAAGAGATACTATAGAAACCGTTGTTCGTTTTCTGTTAACTGGTTCTAAATACCCTGTAATTCTTTAATTCTCTTGAATGGCTTCACACTGTCTTGATATGTTTGATGCTATAGTATACAAAGTTATACTCAAATAATTCAAGGAAAGAGGCACTATGGTGACTACCATTATGTTAGATTATCTGGAGGTGAAACAATGATGCTTAAATTTTTCGGTTCTGACCTGTGTTGTTCTGTTACAATGTCCTCTTTTATCTCAATCTCCACCCTTTTTTAAAAAATTAATCTATTTTTTCTTATTTTTTTCAATTAAGGGAAAACTAAATTTAAAAATAGCGGGATATATTATAGTAAATTTTTTGTTTTCCTATTAACCTGATTTGAACCCCAGTATTGCTCTCCCCATCTTCTGTCAGTTCTGTCAGATTCTACTATATTTTATTTTGTTTGATAATATCAAGTTTGAGGGTATAGGCAACCACTTTGAAGGCAATAAGATTTACTATGATGCCCATTATGGTTTGACTATTATCTTCTTTTGAAGTCCTGTAAGGTCTCCAGTGTAGGTTTTATTGGTCTTGTTCTGTACTGTTTTGATCAATTCTATTATACCTGATGATATAGGCAACTCTTTTTAAAAATAACAAGAGGCACAATGGTAACCATTTTTGATCACCTGGTATTCTATTTTTACATCATGTACTATGCCCATCCTTCTGTTCTAACCGACTCTGTTCTGTTTAGTCATATTAGGTTTTATTCTCTTCAAAAAAAGTAATAAGAACTGTGGGAGTTAAAAAAACCAAAAAGTGCAATTATTATTGTAAAAAAAGAGAGGAAAGGAAGGTGGTCTAAGGGATATAATTGCATGTATGTTTGAGTGTGTAGGATAGAAAACCATATCACTGTGCTTTTGTTGGATCATTGAACAGAACTGTCTGCAATCTCACTGTATGAATGTCCACTTTATATGCTTTAATTTTATAATTTGGACAACTGTTTTCTAAGATGACAATGTATAACCTATTAACTAGTGATTTCTTACTGTATATTTTTTCTTGAAATTCTGTATTATTTGTACCCTGTTACTGCTTTGTTTTTTTATTTCCTTTCTTTTTTCTCTTTAAATAAATAAAAAAAATAAACACTAGTTTAAAAAAAACTGAAATCAAACAGATAAATAAAACTGCCTCCAGGATGAAAGCAGACAGGCAGCTTATCCCAAAGAAGTGAGTTACTGGCCTGGAAGCAGGAGACACACAGGACCCTGACCCCGCTTTGGAGGCTGCTAAGGCTGTGGGGGTGGGAGAAGGGCAGCCCAGCCAGGCCAGTGACTGAGCTGAGTTCTTCCTAAGGACTCGGCTGATCCTCTAGCCCCGGCTACAGCACTCTGCTGGAATTCTCTATCCATTCTCATCAACAGCTGCCTTTTGGCACCTAACCTGCTCTGCCCACCAGCCCATGAAAGCCTTTATCACTCATGCACTCCTGTAATAACACCAGTTACTTGGGCTGTGTGTGGTGGTACATGCCCGTAATTCTACCATGCTGGAGGCTGAGGCAGGAGAATTACCAAGAGTTCGAGGCCAACCTTCACTACACAGTGAGTTTCAAAGCAGCCTGAATTACATAGTGAAATCCTGTCTCAGAACAAACACAAAAGCAAAAAGATACCAACTACTCAGGAGGCTGAGGTAGCATAATCAGAAGTTTCAACTTAATGCACCTGCGAAGCACAGTACCAATAACAACAAAGAGAAAATTAAAGAGACCAAATTAAGAGAATTTCTTGGCAAAGGCAATTTGTCCACATAATTTAACCACTGGTGCCCTCTGGTGTCGAAAATGTCACATCGCTCCATTTTGACAATTTGGGTTTGCAAAGTAGAAAAAAATTTTTAAAGGATTTTGCTTTTTATTTGTAAAAGTTCTGGTATTTCCCCAGGGGAGCTATGTGCCTGTCATAATATGTTTTTAAAATTCCCAGTCACATGTCAGAGTGGACGACACGAGGCAGCAGAAGTGCTTTGAAAAGCCTGGACACTATGGGCAAAGCTGGCTGAGGACAGGGGCTCAAGATTATTCAGACAGCAGAGGGTGCAGGGGTGACACCTGGAGGTGGGGTAACTGACCCTAAGAAGGGCATGGGCATGTGGGCTGGAACCAAAAGCAACTTGGGGTGCATTCACACAAATCTGGTCAGCCTGGCTGTCTCTGTCACCCTCCTCTAGACTCTGCTAGAGAACACCAGAGAGAAGCCACGAGCTCGGAGCTGCCCTGGAAGGCTTTATCCAGAGGCCTGGTAGTATGCATGCACATGGGTTTCACCTGGGAGCAGAAGCTCTTTAGATGGAGGTAATTTAGCCCTTGAAGGGGAACCAGAGCCAGGGTTTGATTTCCTAACGTTACCGTCAGCCATGCCATGCTCAGAGATCGAACAGCTATGCCTGTGTCGTGGAAGTTGGCAGGGGTGGGGAGAGACTGCAGACTTATAGGCAGAAGATGAGAAAGACAATTCAGAGAAGCCTCGGGGTGAGACCAAGCCAGACAACCCCAGGAGTCACGATCTCATTGGAACCATAACCTAACGGTTTCCAGAAGCCACTGTGAGCCAGCAGCCGGCTACTAAGCATTCCTCCTGCAAAAACTGACATTGTCTTCTGCCAACCTTCCGTGCACAATGGGGTACACTGCTCAGGCTCCCCAGGCACTGCCGAATACCACTGAAATGAGTTCAAATCCACCCAGACCCCTCCTGTGGCAGCAGGGCGGACCACTGACCCACTCTTCTCTCCCGTCCTCCGCCTGCTCCCTGCCCCTGTCCAAGCCTGTGCCCTCCCTCCAGGGCAGCTCCCTTCCTCTGAAGCCTTTCCTGACCATCCCAGCTGCACCGGCCTCTCCTGCCCTTGAACTATGCACACTAATTTTTGATTCACTGTTTGAATTATTACTAATTAGCTTATTGTCCAAGCCTAAGTTTACATGTCTTATCTTTAAATTCTCCCTGATGTCCTGCACAAACCCAGATGCCGTGCTTTTTAGCACATTTCAGCTCTGGGGAACATGGCACTGTGTACTCAGGCAGTAGAAACACATAACTGAAATCTCAAACGCACAACAATTTTTCTGACCATGCAAAATCAAATGCCAATGCAACACAGGCACAATTGGCTTGTATAGTTGTTTTAAAACAGACGCATGACAAATAGAAGTGCCCTTATGTCATGACTCCCTTACTTAATTTAAACATGAAAGGGGTGCGGCTTTGGAAATAAGGACTTCTTGGAGGCTTTCTTCCATAACTGCTTCTGCGTATGTGTAAAGATGTGCATGAGGATGTTTGTGGCAACATCAGTTAAAACAGTGACAATAACACAGAAACAATAAACGTCCATCAGGAAGGTGATGGAGTGAAACCTTTGCAATGGGGAGTATTGGGTATCATTAAAAAAAGAACACACAGACATCTATGCACTGCCTTGCAAATACTTTGAAACATACGGTATGAAAAGCAAATTAAAGAATTTGTAGGATTTAATTAGCACATATTTGTTGAGTACATTAATGCGCCAGGTACTTTCTAGATATTGGGGCAACAGCAGAGAACAATTAAGACAAGCAGATGCATGAGCGCACACACACACACACACACACACACACACACAGAGAGAGAGAGAGAGAGAGAGAGAGAGAGAGAGAGAGAGAGAGAGAAATCTCTGTCCTCATGAAGCTAAGTTAGAGAGGGAGAGACAAATAAAATGACTTATAAGTGACAGAGAATACTGGGATGTGGTGATGCAGTGAAAAGGCACAGGAAGAAGGCCAAGTGACAACAGCATCGGTGTCTCTGTCTGCTTCCTCTCTCCAGGACTAGAGACTGAACAGAGAGCCTTTGCCCTGAACTACACACCCACAGCTTTTTCAATTTTGTATTTTGAGACAATGTACTGCTTAGTGACTAAGTTACCCAGATTGGGATTGAATTTATGATCTTCCCGCCTCAGCCTCCCAGAGTGCTGGGATTTCAGGTGTGCACCACGACACTGGACTGACAGCATCAATTTTTAAAAGGCTGGTCAGGGAAGACCTGACGGATACAGTAATCATATTTGTGGGTGACAGGGACGTGCGTCTCGGTATAGTGGGCAGTGCCTCTGATGGTTCTAAAGCCTCCTGACTCTTGGGTTCACTGCCCCCGCGGAGTGAACCTCGTGATTCTCGTGACCTCGTGATTCTCTTCTGAGAACAGAAAATGCCAGAAGTGATAGAATGTCTGTTCTGAGACTGGGTTTGTCCTTTGGGCATCTTCGTATTTTCTCAACTGCTTGCTCTGAAGGAAGGCAGCTACCATGCTACGAGCTGCCCTGTGGAGGGACCTAGGTGACGAGGCAGGGACCCCAGGCTGCCACAGGCCACATGAACAAGCTCGAAGTGTTTTCTCACCACGCTTCCACAGCTCAGCTTCGGCCTCACAACAGACCCCACATCCTAAGCTGCACCTCATTTCTTAGCCACACGTACCCAGAAAGTAAATACTGGTTGTTTTACACTGGTTAAGTTTTGGGATAATTTGTTATGCAGCAATAGATACTAAAGTTTTGTTTGCAAATGCCCATGCCTCAAATGTACATAAAAAGGCTTGGAAAGACCTCTAAAAATCTTAGAAGCATTTAAATCTGCAGATGGAAATATAAAAAAAGAAAATAAATATACACTCCCTCAAGTGTTGCATGAGTCTTTCAAAGCAAAAATGCATTTATACGTTACTGGTGCTCTTTTAATTCTAAAAATACAAATAAAAGTTGAAGTTATGATAAGAGGCCTAGTTGTTTTAAAAACAGTATTGGACACTTTGAAAAATGATGGTGTACCCTCTTTAATGATGGTACTAGAAAAACTGGCTTTCCATAGACTAAAACTAGAAACCATATCCATCAGCATGCACTAAACTAAAAGCAGAATGTATCTAAATATTAAAACAAAAATGCTAAATCTACTGGAAGAAAGAGTAGGCAGAAATCATGAAGATATAGGTGTTGCAGGCAGAGAGTTCATGAACGAAACTCAGATCTCATGAGAAATACTTCAAAGAATCAACAAATGGGATCTCATCCTATTAAAAACCTTTCACATATCAAAAGAAATCATTACCAGAGTGAAAAGAACCACAGAGTGGGAAAAAATTTTAGCTAGCTGTCCCTCAGAAAAAGGACTTCTATATAGAACACATGAAGAATTGAAAAAAAAAACCAGGCTCCCAAATTCAAAGACTCAGACCAAAAATGGGCATCTGAGATGAACACACACATCTCAGATAAAGAAACACATTGGTCATTTAAGAGATGCAAATTAAAACAATGCTGAGATTCCATCTCACTCCAGAAAGAATGGCTATCATCAAGTAATCAACCAGTTAACAAATGCTGGAGGGGATGTAGGGAAAAATGAACATTTCTCTACTATTGGTGGGAGTACAGATTGGCGCAACCACTGTGGAAATCACTATAGAGATTCCTCAAAAATCCAGGATTAGACGTCCTGTCATGTGACCCAGGTATTCCCCTACTGGGTATTTTCTCAGAAGAGTTAAAAATAGTATGTCACTGCAATATACGCATACCCATGTTTACAGCAACATAATTTGTAATAGTTAAATCTTAGAAACAACCCAAATGACCATCAACCAAGGAATGGATAAAAAAGACATGGTCTTTTCATACAATGGAGTACTATTTAGCCATTAAGAAGGATAGGACTTGAGACCATATTTACAAGTGAAATACGTCAGAATCACATGTGTAAAAAACAAGAGTAAATAAGATCCAAAATGGACAACAGATATTGGGAAACAGGAAGAAAATGTTCAAAAGGAAAAAGGAGCAAGCATAGAGGGAAAGGAAAAAGAAGGAAAAGGGAAAAAAATCTATACACACACACACACACACACACACACACACGGTAATTATACTATGAGCCTCTCTTAGTTTATTGAAAAAAATAAAAATTGGAGAATTTTTATACCCATATTTTTTACTCTGAGTAACTACTTTAAATATAATACTACTCAATGTATTCTTATTCTATTACTATTACTTTTTCCTTTTTGAGGCAGCATCTTGCTATACAGTTCAGGCTGGCCTTGAGCTCTCTTTGTAGCCCGGGCTGGTCTTGAACTTGCAACAATCCTCCTGCCTCAGTGTCCTGAGTGCTGGGATTACAGGTGTGTGCCATTATGCCTGGCTCTCCTATTATTTGTCATGCAAGCTTGTTTTATTTTTCGAGAAAATAAAAAAAGAAAAATGATGACAATAAAATTCCTTTTTCATGTTTTTTAAGTGTCTAAATACTTTCACTTTCTGTCTCTCTGTCTCTGTCTCTGTCTCTGTCTCTGTCTGTCTGTTCTCTCTCTCTGGTACTGGGGGATTAAACCCGGGACACCCTACCACTGAGTCATACCCTACCTCCCTTTATGAACACATTCTGACTATTATTTTGAGACAAGACCTCACTAAATTGTTCACATTACAAATCTCTTGTCTCAGCTTCCCAAGTGCTAGGGCTGTTCCACAGCCAGCTTTAAACTACTTTTTTTTTTTTTCAGTATGGAAATTGAACCTGTGGCCTCATAACAAGCTACACATCCCTTTTTTCTTATTTAATTTTTAATTTTGAGACATGGGCTCACTGAGTTGTAAGTTGCTGAACTAAGGTAGAACTTACGGTCCTCTTGCCTCAGCCTCCTGCAGTCCTGCGATTACAGGGGTTCACCACCACACTAACTCAGAATATTTTTTGAAGAGGGAGAAAGAGAAAAAGGAAGAAAAGAGGGAAGGAATGGGGGAGGTAGATCTTTCTTTATGGCTCTACGCGGCCACCCCGAGGTATATAGCTAAGGTTACAGTTTTCACTGTTCTTATTACTGTCATCTCTGTATTCAGAAGGCAGCAGGTCAGTTGGGATAAACTGCACTTGGTCCCCCAGCCAACAGGAACCCAACCAGACACAGGATAGCTCCCCCAACTCCTAGCCTATGATTCCCACAGGGAGTCTGCCACCCTTCACGACTTCATGGAGAACAGGCAACACCCCAAGCCTTTGACCATGGAGCAGCCCCAGATCAGAGCAGTTACGTAGACAAATCTCAGATAGAGGTAGGGGTCGTGGAGGAATTTCCAGGCCTTCCATAGTGTACACTCCTCCCCACCTGGTGCAGAAATGCAGTCTACACAGAGGGTCACACTAGACGGGGTGACGCAAAACAGGGCTTCCACCCGGCAGGCTGTGAGCTGTGTGTGAAGGTCTGGCTTTCCTGCTAAACCATCCCCTGGTGCCTGAAGGCTTCGGGGCAGCTGTGCTGATGTAAGCATGGAGCATGGCAAAAGACAATGGGGACAGGGTTGGCTGTGTCCCCCTGTGATAATCTCACATCTGCTTTCCTTATATTCTCGGTGGGGTGCACTATTCCTGGAGATCCTGCAATACCAGGTCGACGCACACAGTGAACAGAGCAGGCTTCTCTTCCAACTCCCTGCTTCAAAACTCCATTTCCTAGAGTGTCCTCAAACAGAGGACGAATCAGACATTAATCTGGTAAGACCAGATACTGCCCTTGACCTCAGCCAAATGGCTGAGAAGCTATCCTTTATCTTCTTTGGAGAAGGGAATTACATCATAAGCTTCAGGTGTCTATCGGCTGAGAAACACAACCTGGGGGAAACAGGTCCCAGAGAACTTACTGTGCAGGTACCCAGAAACAAATGAGAGATTATCAGGGGCTTGTACTCTAGCCAATTCTGGAACTTACTTTCTAGGTTAAGAAAACAGACCAAGATTTGTTGCAAAGAAGAGAATAAGGGAACGGTGCGGGTGTGGGCGTAGTGGGGAGCAACTCACCTTTACACTGCAAACCCTGCCGCAAGAGGCCCCAGAGCAAGGAACCACAGTGGTCACAGAAGGTGGGGACCTTGTAGTTGTGGATCCCAAACTTGTGTGGCATGTTGACACTGAACCGCTGGGAGCCCACCTGCAGGGAGGAAGACACAGCATCAGCACCCACGCAGCTCCCTGCAGCTCCTCCTCGCCTGAGGCTTGATCCCTGTGCCTCCTCAGAGCCTCCTCCTGAGCTGCTATGCGCCACCAGAGGCCCTGGCTGGCTCTGCAGGCCACCTGGGAAGCAGAGTGAACATACTTCCTCGCTGGCCGTGGCCGAGCTCTCACTCCTGATACTCCCCAACTCATGGCCTGTTACACTGAACAGAGTGCAGAGCAAGCCTGAGCCAGCTGTACCTCCTCCTGGACTCCAGGCCTGGACACCATGATAGCACCCAGCCTGCAGGGTGCACCTTCTTGGGCCACACATGGGATGTCGCCATGTCTCCAAAGCTACTTTGTGCATGGAGGCCTCAGCCAGGCAGAGGGGCCTTCACTGCTGAGGGGGACATAGGAGACTAGGAAGCTACCTGAGCCCTGCGCGGTGTGCAGAGACTGTGGTTGTCAGACAGGAGATGGCTAAGAGTGTGGAGCCTGAGGGATGGAGGCTGAAGTATCAGTGTTCATGGCACAACAGACAGGCAGGCACCATCATCTCAACTAAGCCCTTCACACACGCCATGGGGCAGGGCCATTGTGACCCTGGTCACCACTGAGGAAAGGCAGATGGGATGAGATTAAAAGACATGCCCGTGCTGCAGCCTGATGAGAGGCAGAGACAACGTCGTGCACATGAGTCTGAATTCAGAGTTTAAGCCACTGAGCCACTCTGATGCCACTTGTTACATACAGGTGGCAGTGCAGAAGAGGACAGGTGTGGGGCCAGGCCTTCAGGACTCGGATCTGTGGGCTTGGCTCTGCCACAAACCACCCTGAGGTCTCAGGCAGGTTTCCTGACTGCCTCATCTGGGAAATAACGATGACACTCCTGTCCCCTACAATGTCACAGGATGGTGGGTCGGTGAGACGTAAGGGGTGAGTCCGCCTCCCTGGGTCTTCTCCGCCCCTCCACAGTGCCACTTTGCACCTGTGTACAGTGGTGCTGCCACATAGCTGGGCAGGAGACTGGTGCCTGATGTGGGTGGGCTGGGAAGGAGGGACGCTCTTGGACTTTGGGGGAGAAAGCCGTGGCTTGTGGCTGGTGAGGAATGGGAAGCCCCTATGGGGGCTCAAGAGAGGAGAGATGAGGGCTGGACAGGGACCCCAATATGAACACGGGCGATGCTTGCTTCGGGGTGCCTGCCTGAGTAATGAGCTCCCCATGGCCCGCCCCAAGAGTGACTGCCCCTCTACTGGCCTGGCTTAATATTGTCCAGCCTGAGTACAAGATGAAAACAATTGTAGCCACCACATGGTGGCTTGGCCTTTGTGACCCCTCAGGACAGGTGAGGTCATTGCTGCCCCTGCAGTCCTACAGTCCTGAAGATGTGAACAGAAACGGATCTCCCAGGAACAGCCCCAGGGCGAAGTGAATGACAACCTGAGGCAAAGTTGTCCCGGGTTACCCAAAGTTCAGGGTGGAGCTGGAGACTGCTGCGTGACCCTCTGTGGGACCACTAAGGACCCTGAGGTATCAGAACAGACAGATGGAGAAGACCACTCACACGCAACACATGCGTACACACTCCCGGTGGGAAAAGAGCCAAAAGGGGTGAGTGGGACTCAGGGGAATACACAGAGAGGACAAAGTGGGGAAAGACAACTGTAAGACTCAAAAGCAAGAACGGAGAGAAGGTGATGTGGAGGGGAAATGTCCCTTGGTTACCACACCTAAATGTACAGGTCGGGATTGAGTCCTCTGAGCCACACACAGACCTAAGAGCTGGCAAGCTGGCAAGTGCTCGAGATGGAAAGGGTCCAGGGAGCCCAGGATGGAGGGCATTGGACACATGGGATCTGGAGCAGGAGGTGCTTGTGGTGTGTATGCAGATACATGTGTGCGTGTGTGTCACACTGAAAGTAACTGCACAGAGGGATGAACAGGGTTTAGAAGCCAGCAGGGCAGCTCCTGGCAGAGAGGCACATCCACCACCATGATGGGCATCAGGCAGCAGAAGATGGTGGCAGGCAGGGACACGAGGACAGGGAATCAACTCCACCAAGCTCAGAAACCCAGAGCCCCCTTCCTCAGTGCACGGCTCATTGTCCCTGGGGACTCATGCCGAATTTGAAAGGACACTTCACCAGAGACTTTGTGCCCTTCAGTCTTCCAGGAAAGGGAGAAGCAGGTCATAGTTTGCATGGGCTGTGCCGTTTACGGTCTACATCTCAGCCCTCTGGCTGGCACGACGCTGACTCTGGTGGGACCTTTCCCCTCAAGAAAGAAGGACAAGCTTTAGAAATCTGCAGTGGTTCCCAGGTGACCAGACGCGGGAGTTCCTCGCAGGCAGGACTCTGTGCTCTTTGCTCCTGTGGGTCATAGCACAATGCTTGCCGCATAGGAGATGCCAGTCAGCAGTCAGCGTCCACAGGCAGGAAGTCAGACAGCAAGCACCTTGTCTCTTCCTTTCATTCTCTTGGGAAAGTAATGAAGTCTGGAGACCACATGCTGGCCTGCGCTTTTAACCAAGACAGTAGACCGCCTGCAAACAGCTGCTGGGGCTCAGCGGACCCTTCAGGGGCACCCAAAGCTGGTCTAACTTTAGCCCTATCAACTTCCCAGAGACGGAATGGAAGCAAAGGGAGATAACAGATGAGAAATGGTTAGTGATGGGTGCGAATTAATTTGTCATTTGTGTGCCTCTAATCCCTTTACTCTAGAACAAAGGTGATAATCACACATAGCTGATTAAAGTGGTTGAGGAATTAAATAATGTTCAAGTATTTAGCGCAGGGCAAGGTAAGTGCCCAGTGAAGGCTGCCTGTTATCAGTGGGGTTACTGCTCCCTCTGGAGTTTTCCTGGGATTTCCAGTTTTCTCCATATCCCCATCACCTTACGGCCAAGTTCCGACCTATGTGTTGCCTTGGTCTCTGTTTATTACCCAGCTGCTTCCGGGGCCTGATAAGGTAAGGAAATAAAAAATAAACTCACACTTTTCTTGTGGGTTTTGCCTCTGGGACGCAAATGGTCTGGCAGTGATACTCACAGGGGCAAAACAGGGCCGGGGCCAGGAAACCATGCACCACTACCTTTATTTTTGATCAGCACAAGAAAGATAGTGTTGGATCTCCAAGAGAGAAGCTTTCTTGGGGATCACATCAGAGGCAGTGAGGAAGGAGGACAGGAAAGAACGCGCAGCATCCTAGTGCTGTAAATGTTCACCTCATCAGGGGTTTCCTGCTTCTTCAGTCCAGCGCACTTTGTGATGATGAGTTCGTGGCACCGCTTGTGGACAACGCAGGTACAAACTGCAAGCAGCAAGAAACCCGACCGTGAGTGACAAGAGCAGAAAGAGAGTGTTCACCCCAAGGCTTGGCAGGTACCAGTGGAGGAGTGAAAGGAACCCAAGTCCCTTCCGCCACTCAGTTTGAATTTCAGACCCTCCTGGGAGTCCCTCATGCAGGTATGTCCAAGGTCTCCACCAGAGCCCCCGGAGCTTCCTATGCACACTGAAACAGCTCTGTGCAAAGGGCCTGAGCTCTGCAGTCCTGAGGGCACCAGTCACCCCTGTCTGGCTGTCACCTGCTTCCCTGCTGGGAAGCCCTCTCTAAATAGATGTCAAGTTGTCCCCTATAGTACTGAGTGCCCATAGAGTGGTTGGTGGCTGAGGTCTAGGTGACCTCAACATGATAAACTTTAAAAATTTCCATCTCAATATGTCCACAGAAAGTGGCTTGTAGGACCATGGGGTAGGATGGGTAACTGGTGGCTAACGAGGTGAGTGCTCTGTGTGTCCACCTGCCACGCCAAGTCACAGCAACTGCCAGCAGAGCCACCCTGTCTCCTCCAAGGGTAAGACAGTGACAGGCAAGGAGAGAGGCCAGCCTTCCTGCTGTCACTACACAGAGCCTCAGTGTGACCACCTCACATTTCTCCCTCCAGTTCTGAATGACTTACCTTGAACTGGTAGTCAATTAGTTAGAAAAAATATAGTCTGCAATACCTTCAACCAAGTATTACTATTATTATTATTACTACTATTATTTGGTAGTGCTGAGCTTTGAACCTAGGGGTGTTTCCCCCCTGAGCTACATTCCCAGGTCTTTCATTTATTTATTTATTCTTTTATCATGAGATGGTCTCACTAAGTCGGTCAGGCAGGAATTGACTTTGCAATCCTCCTGCTTCAGCTTCCCTCAGTGCTGTGATGACCAGTGTGCATCACCATGCCTGGCTGAACTTTAAACTTTTTTCAGAGTTAGCTATTACACAGTAGAGATAGGAAAAAAAAACCCAGAGTTGACAAGGACTGTTCAGTGATCTTGACTGAAACAAGCATGTGAGAGACCTTCAGGCAGCTGCCAGGACAGAGACCTGCACAATATAAGCTGAACTTCCAAAGAAGTGGTGTTCTGCATCCCAGGAGAGATCAAAGTGCTATCTGCTACTGCTGTGCAAAAACCCTGGAACCCTGCGGGGATGGGAGCTTCCTATCTGCGAGGCATCTCCAAAGGGAATAAGACAGTCGGGGGCAAAGCAGGTAGGGTTCCCCTTCTTGGAGAGGGAGGGTAGACATGCCAACCTTGGAGAGCAGCAATCTCCAACCTTTTGGCAGATGGCACCAGGCACCAGGCTTGTGGAAGGCAATTCTTCTATGGGTGGCGTGGGGTGGGGGTGGGGTTTCAGGATCAGAGTCTCCTAAGGAGCTTGGACCCTAGGGCTCTCACACATATAGTGCACAGGAGGATTTGTGCTCCTGAGAGAATGCAGTGCGTTTCTGATCTGACGGGAGGCAGAGTTTAGGTGGTGATGGAGCAGTGGGGAACAGTCCTAAATACAGATAAGGCTTTGCTCACCTCCTGCTCAGCAGCCCATTTGGCCCCAGATTGGTATTGGGCCAGGGCCTGAGGGTTGGGGAACCCTGGTATAGAACTTCTAAATGACATCAGACCCAGCACGCTTCCTCCAAGTGACAGTGATCTAAACCTAGTTCATAAAGCATCTCTTACCTTGACATTGGTATCCCTGTTTTCCTATGACGCCCCTGAAAAGAAGAAAACAATCTTTAAGAAAAGGAAATGCCAAACCACTCCATTCTCCCCCCATCCCTTGCTGCACTGAGCCCAGAGAGCTTGTCAGGAAATGCAGGTACCTCCCCTGGAAAGGTGCCTCAAGACGTCTCCTCCCAGAAGGCCATGGGGGACAGTCATGCCAGCAGGGCAGCAATGTGCTAGAAAGCTACACATGAGCCTGCCTGCCCTGGACAGGCCCTGGGCAGCTCAACATTCCTGTCCTCATGGATGAAATAGGTAGCACTTTTCCTCAACACTCTGCAGGTTCTCTGAAGGGCTGTGACTGGCAGCCTGGGTACCCTAAAGACTGCTAAGAAGATTGCTTATCCTCAGTATCCCTAAAAAAAGCAGATCAAGGAATTCCCTACAGTTCCCAGCCCAGCAGGATAAGCCAAAAGTGATGGGGTCACACCCCAGGAAACCTGGGGTCCATGGTGGTCAGGCCATGAGAAAGTCCTGGGAATGATGTACCTGTGACTGGGCTGAGAGTGGGCAGTTCCTGCTTGAGTTGGGTTCTCCCTGAGCTGGGTCATCTCAGATGTCCATGTCAACCTCAGCAACTTGCTTCATTATACCACACACAAGACAAATGACTCAGGAATCCAGGGGACCTGAGAGCCCCATTCACATGTTCTCTGGCTGGCTCCACAATGAATTCTGTCCTCACTTGCTCTTCCCTGTCTGACCCGAGTGTGTGGGCCACTTCTACATTGGCATCAAAGAGCTCGAGGGTACTGGCCAGAAAGGCTGGGGAGATATCAGGCAAAGCATGAGGTAAAGTCCGACTAAGCTGAGGTGGAATCATGCCTCCACACCTCCTAGCCATAGGACAGCAGGTTGGTCTCTTTCTGTTTCTGAACACTGGCCTTGTTAGTGGGACAGACCTCAAACCACACAGTTCACAGGATAATGGGAAGACTGAATTAGGGGTTTTGGGTATTTAAGATAGGACCTGGCATGTGGTGATATCCAAGTGTAAGCCCCGTGCCCTGTGTCTTCTCCACTACTCAGAGGCCGGCCACACCTCACTCTATCAGGACCCTAATCAGGAGGAATGCCACCTCCTCCAGGAGCCTCCACACCATTCCAGACACTGTTGCCTTCTTGCTCCTGGAAGAACCCAGCATCCAGGCAGAGCACAGTTAGAATGCTCACTGAGAACTTCTTTGTACCCCAGATACCTGCAGCCCAGTATATTTACTTTGCTTTAGAAAATTTCAAGTAAAAAAAAAAATAGAAAATTTCAAGTATATATTGGAGTAACAAACATAACAAACCTTGATGAGCCCACCATCCAACTCTACCTATGGGTGCACGATCAGTCCAATATCATCCCTTAGCACCTCTCCCCTCCTTTCAGAATTATTTTTTGTTATAAAATTCTAAGTATCATAGTTTATTTGAAAACAATTCAACTCATCTTCCTACAATTATACTATCAATTATACCATCACCACTGGTGACAAAGTCTTTAATCCTTAAAGTGACCAGGCCCACTTTCCTTCTTTGCCTTTATGTGCCATGCAACTTCACATACACACTTAACCCCTCTGGAAAAGTCTTCTGCAATCACAGCAGGAATAAGGCACATTAACACTGCTTATTTTTCCTTCCTTCCTTTCTTTTTCTTATTTGGTCTTTTTGAGACAGGGTCTCTCTATGCAGTTCAGGCTGGCCTTGAGCTCACTTTGTAGCCCAGGCTGGTCTTGAACCACAAGGATCCTCCTGCCTCAGCCTCCCAAGCACTGGGATTATAGGCATGTACCACCATGCCTGGTTTTCTATATTTATTTCTTTCAATATACACAGTGTGATTTATTTTTATCTAAAATTTATTATTTTTCAATTCCAGTGAAAGTTTTAAAATCTGAGAAATTGCTCTACAATCTGTTTTTTATTAAAGGAAATCCTGGCTATCATTATCAAATTCTTCAAGGCTTATGCCAGTTCTGTATTGTCATAAAATTCAAGGCAGGCACCGCACTTTCCTATTAAACCACAGCTTTCAAGCCTTAGAATCAAAATACTGAAAAGATATCAATATTACACTCAGAACCAGCCTCTAAAGTTCATGTTTAATATATACCACACTTAGAATTTAATTAGAGAATCTCACCTTCATTTCAAATTGGAATGCAATGATTTTGTCTGGCAGAAATTCATACCTCGCCCATTATTAACTCTCACAATCAGATACCCTCTTTTATTTACACCATCCCCTTTTAACACATTCACAATGGGGCCATAATCTCAATGTCTTACTGCCCGGCAGCTTGAACCACCAGTGTACACACGTGACTGTCCCACTGGGTGGCTTTTTATTAATTTTATTAGTACAAAGACTGATAAAAGTGATTAGGTCTGTTTGTACCACCAGTGTCCAAGCTGCCCATGGGACACTCATGCATGTGCCACTGAGATTCAAGCTGGCAGGAACACGTTAAGTGAATTCACTGATCATCTCCCCTACCCAACTCTACCCTTGGGCCACAGAGAAGCCACAGCCAGAGGTTCCCAGGAGGGAGGGGCTTACCAGATGAAATCTCTGCAGTGGGAGCAGTAGGTGGGCTGCCGAAGGTAAGTGGCCATGAACTTGTGGCCATTGACCTGGTGGACCCTGCGCCTGACGGCCCCTTGCCTCTTCCTCGGTCGCATGCGCTCCCTGAACACACGCTCTTCATTGTCTTTAGGGGCTGGGGAAAGACAGAGCAAAGAAGAATACAGAGTGGGTTAGTGCACCTGAACAACGACTCCTGCCTACAGGGTCCCGCATCCCGGGGTAAGTGGAGTTGGGAGGGAGCATTCACGTCCTCAGATTCCATCCCAATCTGCATGCTGCTCCTGGCAAAGTGCCCCATCCATCCTCACACCAGCTGCATGTTCCAGGGCAGAGAGTCAAATGGCTCGAGGTTCAAGGAAGGAAAAAAGGAAGGCAGGTCTGGGTAGTGTGACCCTGGGGACATAGTGTTCCTCACTCTCACCCTCTGCAGCCAACTCCCTCAGTGAACAGGGACCACTACAGTAGAAATGGGGTGAGCCCCTCCTCACTCGCCTAGTTGCCTGGCACAGAGCAGAAGCTTCTTCCTCCGTTCTCAGGCCTCAACCAGGACAACCAAGAACTTTTTGCCAAAGGTCAAAAGAAGGAAACGTGAAACTTCGAAAGCAGGCAGCTTCCCAACTCCAGACCCACCACCCTCTGGAAATGAAAGAGCCTTATTTCTTCCTCCGCTCCACCTCTGAGACAGCCCCAAATCTAAGACCACCTTGAAAGGTGACCAAGAGATGACAACAAAAATATTAGTGATCATTGATTGGGATTGTGGATTTGTGCGCACCCTGGATTCATACGTCAGCATCTTAGCCCCACTGTGATGGTTATTTGGATAAGGGAGGTAATTAGGTAGGATGGCATCATGCTGGTAGGCTTTCCATGGTGCAAGGAGCATCCTTATAAGCAGAGAAAGAGACCCAAGTGAGTAGCCCTCAGTCACAGAAGCACACAGGGAGAAGGTGACCTTTTACAAGGCAGGAAGAGGGTCCTCAAGACCATGCTGGCACCCTGGCACCAGGCTTCTGGCCTGCAGAACAGTGGGGAGTGCATATCTGCATTTGCAGCTGCCAGGGCTATGGGATTTTGCTCTGGCACCTGGAGCCAAGACAGTGCAATGGTGACCACAGCATGATTTTTCTGCAGCAGGTGCTATGCTGTAGGCCTCACCTGAGGTGACTCACTGAACACCTCACAACTTTTGCAGAGTCTGTTACCTCCATTTCGCAGGATGGGAGTGTAACCAGTCGATTCCTGACAATGTGGAGACAGGTGTGCGCCCAGAGTCTAGCCCAGAGCGTATCGGAGCAGCCAGCATTTCACTGTCCATGCAGTGCTCAAGGATACCCCACCCCACTCCAGCCAAGTCCCCAAGGCTCTAAGATGAGTGACTGTCTTTATGGAAAGAATGGAGCTGCCTGTGGCTTCCCTGAGGACAACTGAGAACAGGTTTGGTGCCCTGCCCAGCTCTAGGCCCCTTCATGCAGGCCCTGGAAGGGTTCCTACACTGTACAGCCTTAAATGCACTCAGAATCCTCAGTGACCCCCAACACTTGCTGTGCCAGCCAGTGACTGACACCCCATCAAAGTGGTGCCAGCTCTGGGAGAAGCCTTGTTCCCTCCTGGACTTCTTGACTAAAAGATTCCCTATGAGGTCACATGCGTGGCCCGAGCAGCTCTTTAATCCAACAGCACTTTGCAAGGGCAGAGGAAACTGAAGGAGGAAAAGACTGGGAATGAGAAACAAATAGCCAGGTGCGCCCCGAGAGCGCAGCAATGTCCAGGCAGACAGGCAGCCAACTCCGCGCTTCCTGCATCCTGGCCCCTACCCGGCTCTTCTTTCTTCCCTTTCCCTCCTTTCCTTCCTCCCTTCCTTCCTCCCTTCCTTCCTTCCTTCCTTTCTTTCTTTATTCTTCCGTCTCTGTCTGTCTGTCTGTCTGTCTCTCTCCTCTCTTTTCAGAACTAGGGATTGGAAGTAAGAGCCGTTGCACACGTTAGGCAAGCCCTCTACCACTGAGCTACACTCTCAATCCTTTTTCTGTTTTGAGATAAGGTCTAAACTGGCCAGGCTGTCTTGTGCTCCTCCTGCTTTAGCCTCCCTAATAAATTATGATAGCCTGCCGGGGCTTCCTTTTTTAACTGGTGCTCGTTATTTCAAAAGTCACAAATACCAACTCTCTGTTTGGAAAGAGAAAACTCCCTACTACCTACCTTACCATAACCCAGGGGCCTTGACTCACTGACCTGATCTGTCACTGGTGATTTAACACAGAGCCTTCTACACAGACACACATTGCACAAGTATGGCAGTGTGCAACTGGTTCTGTAATTGTTATCCCCTGCCATGTTTTCACCATTTTTATAACCAAGAAAAAGATATAAGTAAGAATCAGATCTAGTCAGTAACCCTTAGTTGCTACAAACATAAACTACAAAAATTAAGCCCCAAAGCACAGTCTTGGGCATTGTAGGTTAGGGACTGGAATTCTATTTGTAAAAAGCATCCTTTACTTTTTCATGGAGCTTGCCGCAGAATACATTTACACAGTAAGTCAGCTCCTAATGCATTTACGATGCAATCTGATTTAGAAATTTACTAGTCATTTGGATCCTGGAACACTCTATTTTAATTACAATAATGGTGGTGAGTCCCATCTAATTCTCTCTAAGGAAAGCTGCCATAATTGTGAATAGTTTTCTCTGAGGGTTTTTTTTTTTTTCAGTACTGGGGATTGAACACAGAGTTTTGCACTGAGCTACATCCCACCCCTCTTCCATCTTTTAAATTTTTGAGACAGGGTCTCACTAAGTCACTGTGTTGCCCAGGCTGGGCTTATAATTGCAATCCTCCTGCCTCAGCCTCTAACAATGCTAGGATTATAGGCTTGCATAACCAGCCTGAGCTCTTATTTCTCAAGTTTTTACAGAAATCAGCAATGAAATCAAATGCTCTAAGCCGTGTATACACAGATTGAAGAAGGTAAGATGGTAAACAAGGAACTGAATTGCATTCTTGCAGGGACCTCTTGGTGGCATCTGGAGGGAAGCTGTGCAAAGGCGTGGCGGGGGGGGGCGGGGGAGCACCTCCTGCGGTTAGGCAGAGATCCCAGGTTAACTCCCCTAAGAGTGGTCTCTCCAAGTGAACCCTTCCTTATGCCACAGAGCATAACTGTATTCCTTCTTAATCTAAGGCATGGGAAAGGAAATAACAGAAGCAGAAAGACACAAGTAAACTTTATGCTTTGAATGAGTTCACATGGGGAGCAACACACAGGAAACAGGAGAAGGCGCTGGTGAAAACACATCGGTTCTACATTCTTCTGGACAAGGGGCCAAAGATCAGCCTGGAGCATGCTCTGCCCTGTCACTCACACGCAGGGAAAGAAGTAGTCCACATAGTGCATACATGAAGAGAGAAGCAAGGTTTCCCTGCTCTCTCCTCCCCAAGAGCTCCCCCAGATCTACCAGAGATGGTTTTCTGCAATGCTTTCTACTGTGGGGAGTGGCTTTCAAAATGCAGCTTCCGCATACATTTAAGTCTATTTTTGGCTCTCTACTCTGATCCATAAGTCTGTTTTTATGCCAAAACCATACAGGTTTAATTACTGAGGCTTTGTAATATATTTTAAAATCAGACCATGTGATGTCTCCACTTCTTGTACTACTGGGTCAAAACTGCTTTGGTATTCACACTTTTATGATTCTATATGAATTTTAGGATTGTTTTTTCTGTTTCTCTGGGGGAAAAAATTCCACTGGCATTTTAATAGGAGGCACACTGAATCTGAAGATCACTTTGGGAAGTATGGGCATTTAAAAACATTTGTTCATCTAAACCATGAAAAGTCAACTGATGCCAGGCATAGTGGCACATGCCTGTAGTTCCTGTGCTTAGGAGGCTGAGGCAGAAGTTGCAGACCACACTGCAGCTCACGCATAGAGAGCTCAAAACTAGCTTGGACTACATAGCAAGATTCAAAACAAAACAAAACACAACACAGCAAAACCAACCAAAACAAATCAAAACAACAGCAACAAAACCTGTTACAAAGTTACAACGGAGACAGGGGACTTTTTAGTAAACAGTATTGGGGAAACTGGCTGTCTATAGACAAAAAAGTAACATTGGACACCTGTCTTTATGTTGTGTACAAATATCTACTCAAAATGGACTAAACTCAAAAAGCTTCTAGAAAACAAACTTCTACGGAGAACAAGCTTCTGAAGAAAAGCTTCTAGGCATTGGCCTTGATAACGATTTCTTAATCTGACACCAAAAACTAACAAAAGCAAAAACAGACAATAGGAGCTATATCAGACCTAAAACCTTTTGCACAGCAAAGGAAACCATCAACAGAATGAAAAGCAACGTAAGGAATAGAAGCAAATATTTGCAAACTGCATTTCTGAAAAGGGTTAATATCCAAAGTGTATAAAGAGCTTTTAGAAAATAACGAACAAAGACATCATCCAATTCACAAACAGACAGAAGAACTGAAAAGTCATTCCTTCAAAAAAGATACAACAAACAGTGGATGGGTACTATTTAAAAAGACGTTCAACAACACTAATTATCCGAGAAATACACAGAAAACTACAAGGAAGTCTCACTTCAGACCTGATAGGTGGGCTGGCACACAAAGAAAGAAAAGTTCAGTGTTAGCAAGAAGAAGGACAAAAGGAAACACTTTCTGCTATTGGTTGGGCTGGAAACTGAACCAGCCACCAAGAAAAGTACAGAGATAGCTCACAAAATTAAAAATAGAACTATCATATGATCCAACACCCAACTTCTAGATATATGTCTACAGGAATCAAAATCAGACTGCTGAAAGAGATATCTGCACTCTCCTGTTCTCTGAAGCTTATTCACGATAGCCAAGATGCAAAAACAACTCGAATGTGCACTGAGGGTGCATGGATTAGGGAGGTGTAAATACGTAAGTAGAGTGTTATTTAGCCAAAAAAAGCAGGACATGCTGCCACTTGGCGTAACGAATACGAACCCAGAGGACCCTGTGCTAAATAAAAAGTGAGTCACAGGACTCAAACTGCATGATACGACTTATATGAGAAATGTAAGATAGCAGAACTCCAAAAAGCAGAGAGTAGAGAGGGTGGCTGTCAGAGATCAGAGGCAAGGAG